ACGCTTCCGCTGCGTATCCGCCTGTTCTCTTTCATGCGGCCACTGTGGTGCAAACAAGCACCGTGGTGCACGCGGGCACGGTGTACACTGGTGACGTGTTGCACACGGATGCTATGTACGCCTGCGCCGTTGTGTGCACAAGCGCTGTCGTGCACGCGGGCACTGTGGTTCACACTGGCGCTCAGCTGCGCGCGGATGCTGCGGTGTACGCAGGCGCTGTGGTGCTCGCATGCACTGTGGGGCAGATCGCCACCGGCATGCTTCTATGTCTGTTTTCGGTCGTTTGTCCGATACCTGCCCAAACGCCGCAAGCGTTAAACGTGACGCCGCCGGCCTCGTCACCCCCCTCCCCCAGTGACGGCCGTCCCTGGCGGAATGGCAAACATGTTTATATGGGGAAAACCACCGAGATCGACGCCGGGCGGCCCGAGCCGAGGCCTGCCCGAAGAAATCCAAACCGAAACCAAAATTCGGAATTCGGAGCCGAGCAGGGCTGGAACCATCACCCTTGCAACTCCCGTGGGCTGGGGGGCCGCCCTTTTTGCGGGCAAGCGCCGTCGTCCGGGGGCACGCTTGGGCGGGTGGGTTAGCGTGGGCTGTGAGCGTGCTTCACCCCCACGGGGGGCCTTTTTTTGAAGGGCGGTGAAAAACCTGACCCTAGACGGGGGGGCACCCCGCGCTCCGCCTCGCCCAACGCACTCTCTTCGGGGGGCGCGCTGGGGGGCCGCGGGGGCCCGCGGGCCGGGCGCGCGGCGAGCGTCCGACCTGTGGCCGCTGATGCGGAGGCCAAACGGCCGCTTTCCAAACGTGCTGGACGCCGTGTGGGCGCAGCACCGCCGCGAGTGCGTTACTGTTGCGTATTGCTCGTGCACTGTCGAAGAAAAACTCCTCGAAGACCGGACCTGAACACGAAACAAACACGCACACAAACAAACACATAAAATGACAGAGCGCTGCTGACAGTTTGCTTCGTGGACACAAGTTTGCGACGCAAGGGAATGACGCCAACCTTCGACGACAACGAAGGGGTCGACGACGGACAGCGAACACGAGGCATGGCCTATAACATGCGGGAAGCGAATTGCGGCTGCATCCGCGCAGGTCAACACCGCGGCTTCGCCGCTGCAGAACTAGTTTCGCACCGATGCTGAAGACAATCTGGCCAAGGTCGCCTGCGCTTCTGATGCCCAAGGGGGCCCTGGCCTTTGGCTGAGTGCTCGCGCCGCTGTTTAGGGTGCGCCGAGCTTTGCGCATGGGTCACGCGCGTCGCTGGCACTTCGCGTTCGTTCTTCTCTTTGCGCGGTGACAAGACAAACGCCAATGAGCAGCTACGGAAAAATTACTGTCTTGAGCAACGCAGTCTCTGTGAGCCCGAAGACGCGTGGGCAACCCTATTGTGTACGCACGCGTGGGACAAAGAGGACACTTGTAGCAATTAGGCCCTAACATGGGATCGATATGTGCAACACTGAAGCGGCGCCCTTGTGACGCATCCGTACACATCGTAACCTGTAGCGGCTGTCATGAATTCGTGTTTGCCTTGGCTGTGGTGGAATGCGACGTACACTGCCAGAACGCGACGTACATCTTGCAGATGCAATGCGATTATTCAATCTCCCTGCCGCGAAACTTTGTACAAACTCACCGAGCCACCGCGTCACGAGTGCAACCGACAAACCCCGGTCCGATAACAGCCATCACAAGGCGATCAAAACGATCACACATCGAAGACGAAGGGATGCCGAACCAAGGGAAGCACGGTGAGGCGAACAGCGCGCAGCCGCACTATTGCTGCCCACGTGCTATATCGTGAGCGTAACCTCTCACAGGCAAGTAGTCCACAGCCGTATAAGAAATTTGCACCCACATGTTCCCTCTGCGTTGCTCCAAGCAACAAGCATGCAACGCATCAATATTGCTTGCGAGCCTCGACCAATATGAAACGCAGAAGGGACGCGCGGCAAGGACGCAGGGAGGTCAAGGCTCTGGCTCTTCTTGGGGCGCCTTGGGCTCTCCCAGGGCGCTCGTGGCCCGTGGGGCACCCAAGTTTTTTGCAAGGTTCGGGCCTCCTGAGCAGATTTTGTGTCGAGGCGGAACGGCAAACGCAGAGCGGATCCAGAACACCATCGCTTTCGCACGCCAGATGGCCCGACTGAGGAGGAAGTGGGTGAGCCCGCCCTGCCCCCACCTGACAGTGTGCTTGACCCGTCGGCCATTCCCAGGCCGCCAGGGCCTCCGGAGGCCGACGAGGAGCAGAGTGTGCAGCTGCCCGAAGTTTCTGGTCTGTCTCAGCAACCTGACCAGTTAGCTCCCCATTCCTCTCCCGTGGCCCTACCCCCCCAAATCCCATGTCGCTCTCACCGATGAGATCCGAGCTCGGATTGCGGCTAAGCGAGCCGCAGCACGGGCAAAGCGTGCGGAGAGATGTGAGGCGATACGACGTAGTAGGTTGTTGGAAGTGGCCCCGTGGAATGCGGATGCCACCTTCGGCGTCGGCTTATTTGATAGGGCGGTCGGGCAGATCGCACCCAGCCCTGTGGCGCTCGTTTTTGAATGGACCCCTAGCAGTG